TTTTTTCTAATCAAGTTTGTCAGGCAAATTTTGCTATAGCAAACTTTAATGTAAACAAAGATCTTGTTGTAACAAGTTTTTTTCTTGGAAAATCCAGTCTTAACAAGTTTGTACAAGTTTGTTGTGTCAAGCTTCAGGTAATTAAATAAGTTTTACTATTAAATTAATATTAGTGATGAAGTTTATAGACTAACTATTTTTATACTATATGTATAAAAAAAATTTTGAATTTATTATACAAAGTTATATTAATGCTAGCAAAGAATTTTGAATTCTGTTTAATAACTAGCGCATAGAACCCGGTGTTGCTCAGGTTCTGTTTTTAATTTCTTAGGCCTCAATAAATTAGCTTTTAGAACTAAATATAATAAGGGTGTCCTAAAGCACCTCAATCAATAAATTGGTACATAAATTTTAATTAATAAAAATTAGCTTAGCCAGTCAAGAGAGTTTATCACTGCAGTCAAAAAAAAAGATAGTTAGTAACTATCTTTTTTCTTTATAGAGCTGCGTTAATTGGCCAAATTATATTATAAAGTGAGGTTATTCAAGCACTTTGTAATCAAATCATTATTTTTTTACAATCAAGCCATATTTTTTTTTTTATGATCGAACTATTATTTTTTTTTTTATGATCAAATCTTTCTCCTGATTGAATCATTATGGAGCTTCACCATCAATAACAAATTACCCCAAAAAATAACTGACAATTGTTACCTTTGGATGATGTTCATCGATTATTTGGTTTATTTTCTAAAATAGTATTAGTATCATATGAACTTGATATTTCATCTACAACTTGTAAATTTTCTGACTACTATCAGTAGTAGAAGTTTGATTATTGTCACTAACAGATAACTTTAAGAGAGATACCTAAAAAATTTTTTATTAATTCTTTATAAAAAATTATAAATTTAAATAAAATTCAATATATGTTTTTTCATATTCGTTATTAGTTCTATTTAAAATTAAAGAATTAAATAGTGGCACAGAAGAATCATTATGTTGTTGTAACAGTATATGATAATTTGCTAAATCTGTAAAAGGAACAACAAGAGTATTGTAATTAGGCAAAGGGACAATAGAATTATTTGGAATTGCTAAGAAAGTAGCAAAAACACTTGAAGTAGTTAAAACAGATATATTTGAAGTTGTTGGTAATGATAATATTTTTTTGTTTGTTGAATGATTGCATTTTTTTTTGTTTGTTGGAAAAGAGTTTACTCAATTATTAATCGCAATCTTTATATTTATTGATTGTAATGATTGTGCATTATCTCAATCACTATCTAATCACACTCAAAAAGGTGTTTAGAGCACTCTAAGTTACAATATGAGGTTTGAGTGTTCTATAGGTGAGTTAGTCATGTTATAAAAATGTCATGGTCTTATGATCACTGACCTTTTTCGACACAATAATTCAAATTACTCATTGTATTTAAAATACTAAAGTTAGATATTATGTAAATTTAAAAAACTGTTAATATTTTAATATAATATATAATCTGAGTTTTTAGGTTAGAAGAGGTCAGTGATCAAGAGACCATGACATTTTTATAGCATGACTAACCCACTGTATTCTATACATATTGGTTTAATTATACATGTACTTGATTTATGTTAAAGAATTTGGTTTTTTCAAATTCAGAACAGTTATATATAAGCACCAAACATGTAATTAAGTATTTGCTGCTTAGCATATGACTTTATATCAACTCAAAGATTCTAACAATATAATTAAATATTTTATTTAAATTATATTTTATTTATATAATTATATATAACAATAATTTATTAATAATAACTGATGGCTTTTTTAACTATTTAAAAGCTTATTTTAATAGTTTATTCTTAACTGGTCTGAACTGGTTAAAAGACCGAAGACTAAGAATTATATAACCGATTAAAAAAACCAGTTCAACCTTATAGTATAAAATTTTTGTTTTTTTGTTTTTTTTATTTTTTATTTTTTCTTATTTTTTTTTCTTTTAATTTTCTTCTTTTTCATTCTTTTTCATTCACCTTTTTGTTTCTTTTTTATTTTTTTATTCCTTTTTTTTTCCTTTTTCTTTTTTTCACTCCTCCTTTTTATTTTCTTCTTCTTTATATTCATTCTTTTTTCTTATTTATATTCACTCTTTTTTCACCTTTCTATTTTTTAAATTAACTTCTTTTTTTTTTTACATATATTTCGCTTATTTGTTTGAATTACCATTCGCTAGATTCACTGTATTTGCTGGATTCGCTGTTCGCTGGAGTCGTCATTGCTTCGTTTTACAGTGAATTTCTATATCACTTCATGGGAAGTTCTCTACATCATTTCACAGCAAGTTTTCTGTATCATTTCACGTGACTTTTGCTATTTCACATTCTTGCGAAATTGGCAAAATTCAAACTTTGTCAAAGCAGAGTTTAAAACTTTGCCAATTTTGCAAGAATACAAAATGGCAAAAGTCATGTAATCCTACCACTAAGATAGACTTTAAAAATCTTTAATTAATAAAGTTACTTATAATGCACTAATCTCTGTTACAAAAAAAGTAACAGGCTCTATAAAATACCCTGCTGATATAGGGGTATTTTATAGGGCCTGTTACTTTTTTTTGTGACAGAGATTAGTATATTATAAATAAATATATTAGTAAAATTTTAAGAATCATAGTATTTTTTAGTATTTTTATTAATAAAATATTATAATTCTTAAAATTTTATTAATTAATTCTAACTTTATACTTTAATAAACCTTGTTCAGCACATAAAAATACATTATACTAGTATATTTAATTTTATATTTCTTGAAAATTTAAGAAAAGATACTTAATTTTAGATTTTTTGATCAAAAAATTCAAAATTAAGCATTTTTTTTTAAATTTTCAAGAAATATAAATTTAAATATGCTAGTATAGTGTATTTTTATGTGTTGAACAAGGTTTATTAAAATATAAAGTTATCACTTATACTGTCAATTTTAGCATCTAAATTTGCATGCTAAAAAAATTTTTTTTAAAATTTTTTTTTTATATATAAAAATTTAATTCAACACAATTAAAATGATTTTCAAAATCTAAAGTCATACAAGTATACTTTAAAACTGCAGTGTAATATGATATTAGACCAAAAAAATAACATAGGTTCAGGTCAAATAAATTATTTTATACTGCAGTAGTGAAATTTTTTATACAATCTAGATTTTTGGACTACTTAAATTAACCAGACTCCAATTATATAGTATGATTTGTAAAATGGTATATGCCATATTTGATGTTTTTTTTATTGTGCTGGGTTAATATTGAGAATATGTCTGTTGATCAAATATATTTTAGTGTGATCAAATTTCAATCACACTAAAATATATTCAATTATCAAATATATTTGATAATAAGCTTATATAAACAAGCTACTCAAATAATTTATCTGATTAAACGTTAAGTAAAAGCAATTATTTTTTATTAAAAAATTTTATTTCAAAAAAAAATTTTAACTATCTATTTTAAAACACAAGAATAACTTTACAGAACTTGTAAAAAGTTGTATCTGTTTTTATAATAAAGAAATAATATTATAAAAATATTATAAAAATGTTTTTGAAAAAAATGTTGTTATAAAAATGTTTTTATAATATTTTTTTCTCTTTATAATGGGCTTATAACTAGTAATTGTAATGTCATGATAATGTTTTTTGCCAAAAAAAAATTTTTTTGAAAATTTTTTTTGTCAAAAAACATTATTGTGACATTACAATTACTAGTTATAAGGCTGCCCAGGCATGTTTTGCAAATGCTTCAAGTAGTTAGTTTAGTTGGATAGCATCATGAGGCTCAGAGGTAACAGGTGCATTATCATTTCTTTTTATAATAATTCTCAGCAGTTGTAGCCTCCAGTTACTGCTGCATACACTTATACCAGCTATATCTATATTGGTAGTCTCGAGTTCTCTTAACACCAAAGGCTCTTATACAGATATGACCAGAGCCTATTAGGTCTATCAATATGTACACACCTCTATGCTTCAACTTCTTATTGGCCAGTAAGTTTCGTATATACCAGAGGTGTTCCAAATCTGGTAAGGCCAATTCTTTACTACAGATCTCTTTGTGTTTACTACATTTCTTACTACTTTCCAATTCTGGTTACTACCCAGTTATCTACCCAAACAAGATCCCCAATACTACCTTAGAGGTTGTTGGTGCTACCTTGCCAATTGTGAATTTACACACACAACCTTTGTGTAATAGAACCTTCTATAACAACTACTGTTATATGTAGTGCCAACTACTCCACAATGGACCTCCTTCCGGAAATTTTTAATCCAAACCTGTATTTACTTGGACTTTTTACAGCAAATACTTTCAAATATTCATAGATAAACATATCTACTAGGACTTGAACCTAAAACCCGCTCGTGGAGGGTTGGGTGTCTAGAACACTAGGCCATGGGATTCCAACCCTTTAGAAACTACCTTTACATATATAGAAACTACTTTTACTTAATAAAAAATGATTAAAAACCTCTATTACTCGAAAATAAGCTATTTCTAAAAATTTCATGTAATTTTTTGCCCAAAAATGGTAGCTTATTTTCAGAAATATATAGTAATGTTATGTGGGTTGAATTTTAAAAAGTCAATATTTGTAATATAGTCAATAGCTAATTTGGTTTTAAATTTGTTTAAGATTTGGTTTCTATTGTATTTGTTAACAAAGTGGGTCTCATATTGTCTCTTGTATTTTTCTAGTACTATATTGAAAAGAGAGTCAAATTTTTATAATGTTGAAGCAATTTGTTTGTCACAAGTGAAGAATTTGAAGAATGCTATATTGAGATAATTAAATTTGATATCAATTATGACAGATAAGGTCAGTCAAGATATAAATTTGTATTTTAAAAAGTTAAAAAGCTTTTTTTGGTCTAAAAATACAGTAAGTATGTTGTCATTATTCTATGTAGTAGAGTTAAAGTGTTTGTGTTTTTTTAATAGTATATAAGAAACTGTCTAGCTTTAAAGTAATGATAGATTAGAAGGTTGGCTAAAAATTACTTTAGGAAGTTTGTTACAAAGTGCTTGGCTATATAAGTAGTAAATAGATTGCAATTCAATAGTAGTAGTTAATTCAACTTTGATGGCTTCAATACTAGGTTTAGAGTTAGTTAAATTAATTTGTATAGGTTTCTAGATAGTGTCAAGTAGTGGTTTAAGATTGGGTAGATAAGAACTAAGGCTGACTAGGTTTGGAGGACTTGAGTTAGTTTGGGTCTGAGCTATTATATTCAGATTGAGTTTATTTTTGTTTAGAGTATAAGAGAATTAGAGTTAGATAATGATTGTCTAGTCTAGGTTTAATCAAAACAGAGTTTGTTGTTGTAGTGATTTGCATAAATAATATTATATGATCTGCAGACCAAGTGAGCTACTTTGCCTACTTTTTGCATTTTTACTTTAAGTGTTTTGAGAATACTAAGTAGTGATTGAACCTGGGTAAGTGCTAATTAGATTACTCACAGGTAAATAGGTAACTCAGTTGGAGTTTTGGTCACCTGGGTGAAAATAGATGAGTCACCTGATAGTGACTTATAAACAATAATTGCAAGGCTTTGCTAAACTTCAATCCAAACATATACTTGTATATATGTATATTAATTGTCTTTTTTTTTAAAAAAAAAACTTTTTAAAATGAACTAAGGGTGTTCTCAAACATCCATTCAATAGATCAGAGGTAAATTTTTAAATATTGCTATTTTGATAAAAAAACTAGCAAGTTAGAAACAATCTTTTTTTCTTTAAAATTTTACTATTGATAAAAGTCACTCAAGAATTATTTTTATATTTTTTATATATTAAGTATAATATACAATGAATTCTTGGTAAATTTTTACCCAATTCAAAAAAAAATTACTATTTATTTTAATGCTAGAGATTTTTAAACCAAACTACTACTATTACTTAGAAATATATTTGTATATACAAGTATGCATAATAAGGGTGCTAACATTAATTATATAATTTCTATTTACTATAAGGCCTCCCCACATAAGCTTCAATATGATTGACCAATTTAAAAAGAATTTGGTCCAACTAATTTTCTTTGTATAATGTAAGATATTGATATAGTATATGCTCAACCCCCACCTCCTAAAAAATTACATATTAATATCAGTGCTCTAACAAAAAACATATATTTTCACCTGAGTAGCTTATCTGTTTACTTGACAGGTTGATTTTTAACCCACCTAGATTCTACTTAGTAGATCATAAGTTTACCCATAGGTGACCTGAGTGGCATTTTTTTTTTGACAAGTCTAATCACTAGTACTAAAATTTGTAATAGTGTGTTTTACTTTTTTTTAATACAAGGATGTTAGTAAGCTAGAATTAGTGTCTAAGTCTTCTAGATTACTACAGTATGAGACAGCAAGAGATATTCAATCTATACATATAGGCACCAATTTTTGGTATTTATATAATCAATTTTGATTGGCTAATTTTTTGATAATTAATTTTGATTAGTTAAAAACCTATATATGTTTTCTTTTTTTTTATATTAAATGCCAATTACTTGAACTTATATAAACTTTAATCTCTTATAACTTTTTTAAAACAAAGAATAAAAAAAATCCTCTGACAAAAATGTAGTTTATCTAAAAATCTATCAATTTGTCAAAGAGTTTTTTAATTTAGCTTGTTTTAAAAAAGCTATACCACTTTAAAGTTTTATTAATAAATGTTGGATGTCTTTTGCTGTCTCGCACTGTAGTATTGCCAAAAATATATTTCAAGATAAATTGCAATGCTGATTTTTATTGAAATATAATTATTTGACACTTCCAAAAGAGCAAATTTAAAGTGATAAATATTTTATAAGTAATATGATCTCTTTTCTTCTTGTTTATGTTTCTGAGTAAAAAACAGGCTCTAAATAATCAAGACTATTAAGTTTTTAAAAAACATTGTTTATTTAATTAAATTGTCTAGTAATTTGCTTTGAATATTGTTTTGTTATTTACTTAATAATTTTCAAGAGTAGTAGAAAGAGTTTTTTAAATATATTTTTGGTTATTTTTTATTAAGTAAAAGTAGTTTTTATATATAAATACTATATTAAAATTATATTAAGTAAATATATAGTTTGCACTTAATAAAAGTTGTTTACCAAAACTATTTTTTTTTGATGATTACTTGGACCAAAATTCACACTAACAAAAAAACAGAAAAATTTGTTAGAGTTGTAGTCTAATAGTAGTTTGTTTAGAGATCAATCTTCTGCTATGGGGAACTTCTTTACAAGAGACATTTGGCATACAAGCCAAGAGTGTTATTATACAAGATAACTAGTAGGAGATACCTTTGTATAAAAAATCTTAGTGGCAAGCAAGAACCATAAATAATAACCAGTATCATTAATGAAGCTTTTAGGTTGTTACTTCAAAGAAGAACAACAAATTTCTATATTGCTCTTAAGCTACACTCTTTTTTCTGTCTCAAGTGGCTTCTATTTTTGACTTCTTGCTATTTTTCCAAAAATTTTGAAAAAAAAGTAGAAATTTGGCTTACCCCCTCCAAAAGATCAGTATTGTTTATATTCAAATCTAGAAAGATTTAATATATTATAACTGACATGTCTTATTTATTTAAAAGATACAGAGTTACTTTACATAACTTGAATCAGGGTCTCGAGTAGTGTTAAAGATTTGATATTCTCAGTATTCCCAGGAACATTTAAAAAAATTTGGAAATACTAAATTTAAAATTTATGTTCTCTTTTAAAAACAAAGTGAGAATATAAAAGTTATAATTTGTGTTCCCTATAGTAATAGTTTTTTAGTATAACAAGGCTTTTTTTTTGTTATAGTTGTGGCATGGCATGTATGCTTTTTTTAGTTATGGTATAGCATGTTATTTTTTAGTTTTTAAATTAATAAATAGTGGTTTAATTAATAATTGATAAGCTTGAGAGAGAGAGAAAAAAAGAGAAAGAAAGAGAGAGAAAAAGAGAGAAAAAGAGAGAGAGAGAGAGAGAAAAAAAAAAAAAAAAAAAAAAAAAAAGAGAGAGAGGATTTATTAATTTTATTATAAGAACATTAAAAATTTTGTAAGAACATAAATTTAATATTTTATGTTCTCAAAGAACAAAAAAAAAATTTCAAATCTTTTTCACTAGTCTCGAGTTAAAGAGGTATCTGGATTTTGGCTAGTAGTTAGAAGGTATATATCAAAGCTTAGCTTTAGAATTGAAATATATTACAGTTGTAGTTGTTATATAATTTTTAGTATAAGTTATAATAGTGCATTTTTTTTGTTGGTAATAGTAACCTTCAGGTTGCTTGGCTGCTTTTTAATAGAGGTAACACTCCACTTTGTTAGCTCTCTTGGCTTTTCTCTTTGTTTTTCTTTTTTTATATATCATTTTCTTTCTTTTTTTTTAAAAAAATTTCTCTTTTATTTAATTTGGTTTGTTATTAAATACAGTTTTTTTTTTTTATAATTGGCAGTTTTGTAGTTTTGGTATAAAATCACTACTTTTTTTTGCTTTCGGTAAAAAAAAAAAAATTAAAATAATTAGCTCACAACAAGCTGACAAGGTCTATCCAACTTGTATACAATATGGTGCGACAAGTCGCTCATAGGCACATTTTGTGCAGCTGGGAGATGTCATACTTGCAATTTAAAAACTTAGTTTAGCTAAAATGGTTTACTAACAAATAAATAAAGTTTTGTATTTAAGCTTTGACAAAATTATCAAAGAGTTAAAAAAAATAAAAATAAAAAATAAAAGTTGTTCAAAATAAAACAATACATATATTTTAAAAGTTTAATACAATTTGGATAACTTTTTATTAGTACATTTTTGCATATAAAATTTGAACTTAAAAATATAAAAATATATTAATAAAAAGTTATTTAAATTATATAAAAATTTCAAAATATGTGAATTTTTATATTCTGAACAATTTTTATTAAGTGCAAAATATATATTTATTTAGTACAGTTAATCTTCCATAAGTGCACTGCGTACAGACCACTAAAAATCTTGTATTTAGAGAGGTATTGCATTTAGAGTAGTAAAAATCTATAAGTATATATATTAGAGCCATAGCAAAACCTTGCATTTAGAGAGATCCTGCATTTATAGAAGTTGCATTTAGGGAGGTTTGACTGTACAATTTTGACTTTTATATATAGCAACTATTAAAAAATTTTTAAAAATTTGAGAATGGCTTATTTTGAGATAAAAGAGATTTTTAGATTTTTTGCTTGAAAGAGGGAAATAGCTTATTTTTAGTGGTAGCTTATTTTTGAAAAAATATAGTATCTCTACAATCCCATGTAACTCTAGTCTACAAATCTATATAATTCACAGTCAATTACAGTTATATTTCTATATAATTACTTCTTATATACTGTAAAATCCGGACATGTATATCCCGGGTATTTTCATTACTCAATTTAGTACCCAGGGTACCCCTATATAGGGTATACTGTATTGAAACAATATGTTTTACTATATCTACCTGGGTGATACATATAGTATATATAATACCTATATACCTGGGTATAAGTCACGAATTGGCACTTCAAACTGGCAAGGGGTATACTGCATGGGGGTATATGTGTTTGGATTTTATAGTAATTATATTATATAAATATAAAAACCTCTCTTTATTATATTTGTACTAAAAAACAAATCACTATTAAACTTATAAAAAACTACTTCTATATAAGTACAACCTCTTTATAAGCATATTTTTTAAAAAGTTTTTAAATAAAAAATTGTGTGATTATATAGAAGGTTGATTATATATTTAAATATAATAAACTTCCTACTTTATTTTTTCATTTTATTAAATACTTTAAATTTAACTCTTAGTCTATTTGGCAAAAACTTCTTAATATCTTAAAAGTTTTTAATATTCAACTCTCCTTTTACAAAGTTTAAGCTTACTCTAACAATACTTTTAACAATTTTGCAGATTTGCTTGCTAATAATCATTCTACTTTCTTAATATTATCTTTTAACTATACTAATTCCTATAACCTCTATTTTATTTTATTTTGAAAAAATATCTTTATTAATAGCTCCTTGAAACAATTCATTAAAAAAATATGTAATATATACAATATAGCTTTCAAAACCATGCTTAATAATAGTCATACTTTTCTCATCAAATCGATTAGAATACCTTTTGGCTATACTTTGACAACAATCAAAAAATATTATATAATTTCACTAATCCCAAATTAAACTATCTAAAATCTTTCAAATCAAAATACTATTTAATATATTACTTATATATGTACATTTTTATAATATCTATTCTCATATTTTTATATCTCCTAACTGCTTCTCTTGAACAATTTAGACTCTTCCTCCTATTGGTACACTTGTTTTAATTATGCTCATTTAATTTAAATTATCTGACATATTTTATATAAA